GAGTAGTAATGATGTGCAGTAACCTCTAGCAACCAATCAGCAAGCAGAAATAATGTGCTGTATCTTCTAGCAACTAATCAGTGAGCCATAATGTGTACTGTAACCTCTAGCAACCAGTCAGCGAGCAGTAATGATATGCTGTAACCTCCTGCAACCAATAGCAATTTCTGCCTGATCTGCTGCAGTAAACTGATTTTGAGTCTAGCTGCTATGTATTGTACGTCTCAGAGCAGGTGGAGAGCAAAATTGCATGGGGGGCCCAAGAAAATGTTTGCAAAGGGTCCAATCAATATTAAAGACGGCACTGATTACTATAATGCAATCAGACAATATATAGTATATATAAAGTAATAAATATGGGCCTCATTTTCTTTCTTTTTTTCTTTGCTGCTAAGTGCTACAGCAAAGGAAAAAATACACTGTGCTGTTGGCATTTGGGAATGTCAAAATGTAGTTCTCATTCACAATTCAGCGACCTGGCTTTTCACAGGTCCAGTATCCATCCCCCTGAACACTGTTCCATTAAACAGTACAGCTCAGGGAGGAAGAATGCTGATTCTTCTAAATACTGCCAGCAGAAGGTATTTTAACCCTTACTGGAGCATTTAGCAGTCAAAAAAATAGTAAATCAAACTTCAAATTTATGAATATACAGCCTGACTGCGTTACAGTAATAAATAGAAAGGATTAAGCTGGGCTTTAATAAACCCTCTGAAAAAGAACCTTTACTCATCAGATTAACCCCTGCGGAGTTTAGTGGTGAAGCTTATTTTCCTTATTACTGATGCTCAGAAACACATATAGAGGTGGATTTGCTAAAGGCAAATAGACGGTGTACTTGTAAGTGCAGTTGCTCTTAAAGTGTAGTTGCTCCATAGCTTAGTAAATGAGGTACAGCTTCACTTTGCAAAGGATACACAATCACATGCAGGAAAAATACAATTAAAAATCAGCATTTTTGCTTGCACATGAATGGATGATAGAAGTCAGCAGCACTTCCCATCATTTACTAAGTTCTGGAGGAACTGAGATTGCAGAGTGCACAGTCTATTTGCCTTTACTAAATCAGCCCCACAGTTTAAAACTGGCCATACACTAGATTTGTATTTTTAGGCTGAAAGAAACAAATCTAAAAACAAAAAAAAAACAGATTCCTCGATCCACACTAATAGTTATTGCAGAATGTATTTGTAAAATTTCGAAGTAGCTCTTTTAGAAGTTAGCTGCAAATGCTAATATCCATTATAAAGTTGTACCAGGGTACAGGGTGGCATGTAATTGATTAAGAGAGGTAAGTATGGTGGGATGGAAAGGGGGGGGGATGCTCTCTGGCACCTTCACCTTGGGTACTAAAGGACATTATTCTATCCATCTTTGAGGTAAAGGCAATGCAGCTCAGACGGTGAAGATCACTGGGTCAGTGCTAAAAGGTATGTCATCTAGTAGGCAGCACTTCAGGGTTGGGGGAACTTATCATTCAGTTGTACTTTAAACCCCATTTAATTTACAGAAAAGTCTGACTTAGCACATATGTAAATGTGTACAAAGAGCTGTTACTTTACCTTTTAGCTACTGATTAAATATCACGCCTGATATTTATCGGTAAGGTTATTTGCTAAATTTTATTCTTTCCTTTCTTAACAGGCTTGTGAATCTTGTCAACTTCACAAAATGTAAAATCTGCTTTAAAGCTGAGATATTAATAAAAATGGCTTGCTTTTATTGCTCTTTGTACTGTTTAGTACTTCAAAATTAATTTATTTACGTCTCGTGTGGTCTAACACATTATCTGAATCAAATATCCAGTAACAGAAAGAAAAGTTGATATGCTGAACATTCCTATCTGGGCCTATAGGCTTTTTTAGTGAAATCTTTCCTGTATAGTCTTTATTATTTTACATGCAGCCAGAATTTTACTATCCTATTCTGTTGTAACAAGTGTTACATTTAAGGCCTCTAGGTACCAGATGCTTAGTCCTTGTTAAAGTAATTTCATGGATAGTTCTGGCCTTTATTCATTCTTGTTCTCTTTATCTATGCAGACACTCCATTTACGTCAACATGAGTCATTTTTTTTTCTCGGTTGTGATGCAATTCTCCTCCAATGAAACTTGCTGACAAATTAGGTGTATGACTCATAGAATAATTGCAGGAACAATTACATTACTATGAAATAAGAAAAAACAATAAAATGTATAATTGATGGTGTTCTCAGGGTTAAATATATATATATATATGTGGAGACTGAAAATCTACAGAAACTTTCCAGAACCCTATTCTTAAAGTAGAACCTCAGCCTATTTTGTTTTTAGATTATGATAGAGCTTTGAAGGGTTAGAACCTCTCAGGTTTTTAGAGTTGTCTGTGTTCCACTGGGGAGGTTTGAAACATCATATTTCTCATAGATTCTAGTCCCTCTCTCATGATCTTACTAGTAAGCAGAGTCAAGCAGATGAAATTCTCTTCTTTTCTCATAACACTTGCGCACACCAGGATCACTCCATATTTTCTTTATGGCGGTAGCATGATGTTTTTCTAATTGCTTTACATTATTTACATCCAAACTTTTGATCAGCTCCCCATTCATCTATGAAGAGAGAATATAATGACATTGTCAGTGAGGAATGAAGAGCAGAATTTAATTCTAAGAATGAGAATCATCAATGTTTCTCAAATATATTAAATAATGCTTCCCTTTGCAAAAAAAAAAAATATATATATATAAAAAAGTAAAAAAAAAAAAAATAAAAATATATAAAAAAAAAAAAATATATATACTGTAATATCTATATATCTATATATATATATATATATATATAAATATCTATATATATATATATATATATATATATATATATATATATATAAATATATAGTGAAGGAAATAAGTATTTGATCCCTTGCTGATTTCTAATGTTTGCCCACTCACAAGGAAATGATCAGTCTACAAATCGAATGGTAGGTGTATTGTAACAGAATAGCAACAAAAAATTCAAAAGAAATGCATGTCTAACAAATTATGCACTGATTTGCATGTTCATGAGGGAAATAAGTATTTGATCCCCTATCATTCAGCAGGATTTCTGGCTACCAGGTGTCTTTCACACAGGTAACAAGCTGAGATTAGAAGCAGTCTCTTAAAGGGAGTGCTGCTAATCTCATTTTGTTACCTGTATAAAAGACACCTGTCCACAGGAGCAATCAAACAATCAGATTCCAAACTCTCCACCATGGCAAAGACCAAAGAGCTGTCCAAGGATGTCAGGGACAAGATTGTTGTCAGGGCTCCCGGGTATGACCAGAGGTGTGTGACTGACGCAGGGAAACGCAGACTTCAGATATGTTATAAACAATGTAATTTATTAACACTAACCATACAAACATAAACGCAGTGCAATACTAAAACATAACACAGTGCAAACAAACCAACCAACCACCCACAGATAACAGTACATACAATGCAAGCGTCGTCAGGCAGGCCGGGTCAATATCAGTCGGGCAGGTAGGTACAGGGGGAGCGAGCGGAGAATGGTCGGGGGCACAGGCCAGGTTCAGCAGGTAGCGGGCAGCGTGGTACAGAGGGTCAGGCAGAGGAGAATGGTCAGACAAGCCAGGGATCAGAGCAGGGTCAGCAGAGAATCAGACAGGAACAGGGAGCAGGAACAGGATGCAGGGCCCAAGAGAAACACAACACCAAGGCAGAGTCTGCAGGTCTGAATGTCCCTTAAATACACCAGTATAATTAGTTCCAGGTGTTTGACTGGCTGCAAGGTTGAGTCTCAGATTGCTGGGAGCACCCGCTGGCCAGCCCTGGTACTGCAGCTCCTAAGGCAGCTGAGTCCCACTATTGCTGGCCAGTCCATTCCTGACAGTACCCCCCCCCCAAGGAGCGGCCTCAGGACGCTCCAAACAGTCCTAGCTGGGCAAAATGTTCCACCGCCCGGGTCTGGTAACTGGCGGGATATCAAAGACTGGCACACCGGGCAGGACTCCGGGCAGCGGCACACCGGGCAGAGGCACATCGGGCAGGACTCCGGGCAGAGGCACATCGGGCAGGACTCTGGGCAGAGGCACATCGGGCTGGACTCCGGGCAGAGGCACATCGGGCAGGACTCCGGGCAGAGGCACATCGGGCTGGACTCCGGGCAGAGGCACATCGGGCTGGACTCCGGGCAGAGGCACATCGGGCTGGACTCCGGGCAGAGGCACATCGGGCTGGACTCCGGGCAGGGCACATCGGGCACACTCCGGGCAGAGGCTCCGGGCAGAGGCACATCGGGCTGGACTCCGGCACACATCGGGCTGGACTCCGGGCAGAGGCACATCGGGCAGAGGCATTACCAGGCGACTCCAGCAGGCACATCGGGCCACCAGGGGCAGCAGGCACATCGGGCCCCCAGGCGGAGCAGCAGGCACGGGCCCCCAGGCGGAGCAGCAGGCACCGGGCCCCCAGGCGGAGCAGCAGGCAGCGGGCCACCGGGCGGAGCAGCAGGCAGCGGGCCCCCGGGCAGAGCAGCAGGCAGCGGGCCCCCCAGGGGGAGCAGCAGGCACCGGGCCCCCGGGCGGGGCAACAGGCATCGGGCCCCCGGGCGGGGCAACCGGCATCGGGTCCCCAGGCGGGGCGACCGGCATCGGGCCTCCAGGCGGAGCGGCGGGCGCCGGGCCCCCCCAGGGGGGGCGACAGGTGTCGGGCCCCCAGGCGGGGGGCGACAGGCATCGGGCCCCCAGGTGGGGCGACAGGCATCGGGCCCCAGGCGGGGCGACAGGCATCGGGCCCCCAGGCGGGGCGACAGGCATCGGGTCCCCAGGCGGAGGCGACAGGCGCCGGGCCCCCAGGAGGGGCGACAGGCATCGGGCCCCCAGGCGGGGCGACAGGCATCGGGCCCCCAGGCGGGGCGACAGGCATCGGGCCCCCAGGCGGGGCGACAGGCATCGGACCCCCAGGTGGAGCGACAGGTCTCGGGCCCTCAGGCGGAGCGGCGGGCGCCGGGCCCCCAGGCGGAGCGACAGGTCTCGGGCCCCCAGGCGGAGCGACAGGTCTCGGGCCCTCAGGCGGAGCGGCGGGCGCCGGACCCCCAGGCGGAGCGACAGGTCTCGGGCCCTCAGGCGGAGCGGCGGGCGCCGGACCCCCAGGCGGAGTGACAGGTCTCGGGCCCTCAGGCGGAGCGGCAGGCGCCGGACCCCCAGGTGGAGCGACAGGTCTCGGGGCCCTCAGGCGGAGCGACAGGTCTCAGGCCCCCAGGCGGGGCAGCGGGCGCCGGACCCCCAGGCGGAGCGACAGGTCTCGGGCCCCCAGGCGAAGCGGCGGGCACCGAGTCACCAGGCACGACAGTGGGCTCCGAGTCAACTGGCATGACCGCTGGCACTGGGTCAGACATTGGATCGTCTGGCTGGACAGCGGGTCACCAGGCATCAGGTCATTTGGCTCGACAGCGGGCACCGCGTCATCTGGCAAGGCAGTGGGCTCCGAGTCAACTGGTATGACCGCGGGCACTGGGTCAGACATTGGATCGTCTGACTGGACAGCGGGCATCGGGTCACCAGGTATGACAGCGGGCACTGGGTCACCAGGCATCAGGTCATTTGGCTTGCCAGCGGGCACCGCATCATCTGGCAAGGCAGTGGGCACCGGGTCACCAGGCATTGGATCGTCTGGCTCGACAGCGGGCATCGGGTCACCAGGTATGACAGCGGGCCCTGGGTCACCAGGCATCAGGTCATTTGGCTCGCCAGCGGGCACACCGCGTCATCTGGCAAGGCAGTGGGCACCGAGTCACCAGGTACGACAGCGGGCTCTGAGTCAATTGGCACGACAGCGGGCACCGGGTCATCAGGTACCGGATTGTCTGGCTCGACCGTGGGTATCGGGTCACCAGGTATGACAGCGGGCACCGGGTCATCAGGTACCGGATTGTCTGGCTCGACAGCGGGCACTGGATCAGGTACCGGATCGTCTGGATCAACAGCGGGTATCGAGTCAACTGGCCTAATAGGATCGTCAGGCTGGATCAGTTCATCATGCTGGGTAGAGGCATCAGGCTGAATGCCGGCGTCCGGCTGAGTAGAGGCTTCAGGCTAGAGGCTTCAGGCCGAGTAGAGGCTTCAGGCCGAGTAGAGGCTTCAGGAGTAGAGGCATCAGGCCGAGTAGAGGCTTCAGGCCGAGTAGAGGCATCAGGCCGAGTAGAGGCATCAGGCCGAGTAGAGGCTTCAGGCCGAGTAGAGGCTTAGAGGCTTCAGAGTAGAGGCTTCAGGCTGAGTAGAGGATTCAGGCTGAGTACAGGCATCAGGCTGAGTAGAGGATTCAGGCTGAGTAGAGGCTTCAGGCTGAACCACGGAAGGCAGGTTCACCGGTTTGGATACTGGCAGGATGGTATTGGTTGGAAAGAATTTTCGCTTTTTTTCTGGTTTTAACTACTGGAGCACTGCAAGTAAACGCAGGTCTGCAAACGAATGGAGCAGCTGGAGACAGAGAAGAACTGGAGGATGGAACAGGAGAGGGAGCAGTTGCTACAGAGGGCTTTTTTACAGGGTTAAAGGCAGGATAGGTGCAGCGAGTGGGAACAGGGTACTGACATGCGGTAGATAGCAGGGCAGGAGGAGCTGTTGGGAATGCAGGAATAGAGTTTTGAGGAAATAGATTAGAAGCAGGACTGGGTCTTTGTAAGCTGACTGAGGCTGGGTGTAACAAATCTGTCCATGTCTGCAGTATGGGTTGAACAAAGCTGAGCTTACACAAAGCCTGTCTGACCAAAGACTGCACTGCGTTTATACAATCTCTTAGTACCTGTGGTGAACATGTGGAATAACGCTCCAGAAAGTAATCCACATCATCCTCTAATAACCATACCAGGGACTCTACCTGGTCGGCACTAAATGGTGGCAAAAATTCATCCCTGCATTCGGGGGTACCAGATGAAACCAACTCAGCACAAACCTCAATCAAAGGCTGCACCTCAGAGAACTCTGTGCCCTGATCTACTAGAACATGAGCGAGCCGTATACATTCTAGCAGTTCATCCCAGGTATACTCCTTCAGAGTTTGATAAGCATACTCCCTGTCATCAAACACTAGCAGATATAAATACGCAACCTCATCCAGACCCATCCTTCCCATCAACAAGCCAAGATGGCTTCCCTGTGCAGTCACTTCTGGTCAGGATTGGCCTTGGTGTAATGTCAGGGCTCCCGGGTATGACCAGAGGTGTGTGACTGACGCAGGGAAACGCAGACTTCAGATATGTTATAAACAATGTAATTTATTAACACTAACCATACAAACATAAACGCAGTGCAATACTAAAACATAACACAGTGCAAACAAACCAACCAACCACCCACAGATAACAGTACATACAATGCAAGCGTCGTCAGGCAGGCCGGGTCAATATCAGTCGGGCAGGTAGGTACAGGGGGAGCAAGCGGAGAATGGTCGGGGTCACAGGCCAGGTTCAGCAGGTAGCGGGCAGCGTGGTACAGAGGGTCAGGCAGAAGAGAATGGTCAGACAAGCCAGGGATCAGAGCAGGGTCAGCAGAGAATCAGACAGGAACAGGGAGCAGGAACAGGATGCAGGGCCCAAGAGAAACACAACACCAAGGCAGAGTCTGCAGGTCTGAATGTCCCTTAAATACACCAGTATAATTAGTTCCAGGTGTTTGACTGGCTGCAAGGTTTAGTCTCTGATTGCTGGGAGCACCCGCTGGCCAGCCCTGGCACTGCAGCTCCTAAGGCAGCTGAGTCCCACTATTGCTGGCCAGTCCATTCCTGACAATTGTAGACCTACACAAGGCTGGACTGGGCTACTCAACTCTCCGTGTTTGGAGGAGGAGGAATGCTGCCTATGACCCCAAGAACACCATCCCAACTGGCAAACATGGTGGTGGAAACATTCTGCTTTGGGGTTGTTTTTCTGCTAAGGGGTCAGGACCACTGCACCACATCAAAGGGACGATGGACAGGGCAATGTACCATCAAATCTTGGGTGAGAATCTTCTTCCCTCAGCCAGGGCATGTTCCAGCATGACAATGACCCAAAACACATGGCCAGGGCAACAAAGGAGTGGCTCAAGAAGAAGCACATTAAGATCCTGAAGCGGTCTAACCAGTCTCCAGACCTTAATCCGATTGAAAATCTGTGGAGGGAGCTGAAAGTTCGAGTTGTCAAACGTCAGCCACCAAACCTAAAGGACTTGGAGAGGATCTGCCAAGAGGAGTGGGCCTCCTGAGATGTGTGCAAACCTGGTGGCCAACTACAGGAAACGTCTGACCTCTGTGATTGCCAACAAGGGATTTGCCACCAAGTACTAAGTCATGTTTTGCGAAGGGGATCAAATACTTATTTCCGTGATGAACATGCAAATCAGTGCATAATTTGTTAGACATGCATTTCTTTTGAATTTTTTGGTTGCTATTTTGTCTCTCAGTGTTACAATACACCTACCATTCAATTTTTAGACTGATCATTTCTTTGTGAGTGGGCAAACATTCAAAATCAGCAGGGGATCAAATACTTATTTCCTTCACTGTATATATATATATATATATATATATATATATATATATATATATAATATTATTTGACTTGGTAGTTTTCTTTTGGTTCAGTATAGCCCAGTCAGGGTTCAGGAGCTTCAAACCTTTGCAGAGTTTTGAGTGGGATGAAGCTTTCAATCTTAGGTCCACGTTTTGGTGGTGAGAAGCACACACAAACTGTGCATCTTTGCACAGTCCATATGGTAAGGATGTTGGGTAGTGTTCAGAGCTTCACACTCCTCAGGAGCCCATGAGGCTACAAGACAGCTGCCAGACAGAGGCTCTAGGCCAGACATTCAAAACAATGGCATTGCAAGCTTAAGCCAAAAGGCAGAATGAAGCATCTGTGGTGTTTGTAGCTTTGAAAAAAAGGAATGCTGAAATCCCTGAGAGGATAGGAATCAGATCGGTAGTTACTGGTTGAAGACCATGATGCCTTTTAAAATTTGGGTACTACATCTGCTTTGCACCAATCAGCAGACTAACAAATGTTTAATTCAAACTATGTTATTGGTTATTTCCAGAAGAGATAACACAAAGAATACTGTAAAAATACAGAGTAAAGATACTTTTAAGAAAATGTGAGGGATTGAATGTAAATAATACCGTTTTTGTTGGAGTCAGAAACATTATACTCAAATAATTGTTAATGCTGTACTTAGTGCACACTAAGACAGTATAAGAATCACAAAACATTAAGAATGTATTGATTTGTGAGCTGTTTTAGTCTGGTTAAGTCTAAAAAGAGACTATACACAATAGTCTATACACAAGGGAAGAAAAAAGGGACATTAAGAGTTTAAGAAATTTAATTTCAGCCTTCAGAACCAATGAGTCCAGTAACAGATTTTTAATTTATTTTGTACCAAGCAACAGACTACAATTAGAAAAATTAGAAACAATAGCTTATAAATAACAAAAATAACCAAACTCAACTCTCTGAGGGCATGTGCAAGCCATTTGCTCATAAGTTATTCATATTTACTTAGTCTAATAATTTTGACTATATTAATGATGAATCTTTACTTTTTAATTTATAAAACTTATAGTAAAAACTATTTATATATTTAAATATATAATATATATATATTTAAATTATTTTTAGGTATTTGCCTTAGTTATTTTATAAATCTGTCCTTCATTTTTTTACCAACAAGTTTACAGCCTTTGCTGTATTCTTTGTAATTCTCCAAATGATAGGAATTTTCTATTAAAATATGTTTTAGATGCCCCTAAACAATTGGCTTTTATAACCTTAAAACCTGAATATAAAATAAGTCCCTCTCTGGAATAAAAATGTGTGTGGAGTGGCAGGGAGGTATGGTTAAAACTTAAAAGTTAATTTGTGGAGCTTTAATGACTGAACACAGTTTTGTAACATAGGGCATGTGTTCATGTAAAACTGTATATATTACCACAACTACTTAATGTATCCCGGTAAATTATACCTTGTCTTTTCAGGATAAATTTGGCCTTCATTTTGTGGGTAAATAGTAATGGGTATCTCATATTCTCTATTATCAAAGGAAAACTACCCCCCCCCAAAAAAAAATCTAAACACATTGACACTAAATAAAAATAGTTTTTCCTACCTATAACCCACAGACCCTGCCCTTTGACCCCACCATTTGCCCATTACTTTTGATGAGGTTCTGATCGTTGACCCTGACCTTGACACTGACCCTGACACTAACCTAGATAAAACCCTGACCTAGCTATTTTATCTTTACTACACTTGATCTTAGCCAAAAGGCTGAGAAGCGATCTAGCTATTTTTTCTTTATTATTGATATTTATATTTTTACACACATTTTTTTTTCATTCTTCTCTGAGTAGGAGAAAAAGGTACAATGTATCTGTTTCTCCATTGGGAAGAGAAACTCCTGATATCACAGGCTATAATGGTGATCATATGATCAATATCCAATCCTCCCAGCTCCCAATCATTAGTACGAGACCTGGAGCTGTCCTTGACAGTTCGGTCACTGTGCTAAGAGTGAGACTTCAGCAGAAGCAGCAGTGTGCATTTATGTGCCATCTTGGAAGAAGGCCCACCTCCACGATGCTGCATATATATGTGCTACTGGTGGGAACAGGTAAAATGCATGTAAGCCTGATCTTTCTTATGTTTTAGTAGAGTAGAAAATAGACAAAACCCCTGTCACAGTTTGATTGGGGAGATTCCCTTACCTTGAACAGGACATAAGAGAATATCACTACAAAGTGAAGGAACCTCATTACCAAAACAAGTAACCTCCTTTGGAAGATTATCTTTTTTCTGTTCCTGTGACAACTCAAAATGTTGTATATTCTGTCACTTCCAGTTTCAGTTCAATGGGCACAAGACAAATAGAAAGGGTAAACCTCCCCAGTGATGATAACAATTTTAAAAAATTACAGGGGTTCCAAGTCTATGTAATTCTATCCAAAACTACACTTTGGGGTCTACTATAAAAAAAAATGAGTTGGACAAATATCACAAGCATTTGCCATCACGAATTCTGACTGTATTAACTTAGTAGTTACATAGTTACACAGTTAGTCTGGCTGAAAAAAAGACAAAAGTCCATCCAGTTCAACCATTAAAATAAATAAATAAATAAATAATGGTTATAATCCTATACCCACAGTTGATCCAGAGGAAGTATGTTAATTTTCTA